AAGAAATCATTGTAAACATATTATATGAAATCCATAGCTGGGTTCAGAACAAGAAAAGTCAGACATAGATTATCATGTTAGACATCAGTGAGCCCACCTGACTGTTCAACAGTAACAATATAATTATTAGTTGTACGTGTTTGAAACCGGTTGGAAAAATTTATCGACTGACTGAGATGCCTTATGAAAACAGGCAAATAAATGCAACAAAACACTGTATAAAGGAAAACCATATTCTAATGCTACAGTACCCAAACTTATGACCAATATATGGAGCACGGTGATGAAGTTTTGGACTAGGTGAAGAATGATCAGAATGTAACAGGAAGGCGTCATCGCTGAGTTTAACACGTTTATCGCGAGACGATATCCGAACACAATTTCAGCATATTAGCAGTTGTGAAAATGTCTTGTAGACAGTATTTTAATTAAGAAGTTTGTGGGATTCATTGAATTCAAATTGGCATTGACCAGAAACTGACATCAGTTGGAGAACCATTGAAAACCTGGAAGCGCTGAACAGCTGTTTCGTCCTAGGATGGGACTCTTCAGCAATGCGGACCCATGGTGGATGCGTTACATTTAAGGATATAGATATTGAGTTTATCATAAGCTCGACTATACTATAAAATCGACAAAGCTTTTAAAACCACCGTATAGTGAAATTAACTGGAAAAACTTCCTTTCTAATTCGACGATAATTCTTTCAACAGACACGAAAATTCCTGTTGCATGAAGTGAACTGTGGTTTGTCATTGGTATGTATTTGATAAGAAAATAATTTTCTCGGTAAACAGTTGACCAGAGAAATCTTACTTCTTGTGGATAATATCTCAAAGGCTTTTTGAGGGAAATGGCATGAATGGATTGTAGTGTCATGAGTTCCACATTCTTGCAAAATCATACGGTCCAAACAATACTTTGGTATGGACCGAAAAGTAACTACGTTAATGAGACTTGAAAAACAGATAATTAATTAAGAGAATCGAAGAAAGAACTTTTATTCGGATTGAAGAATCTGAACTTTGAGATGAGTTGGACAATCGCTTTAAAAAAGTTTGGTTGGCTGATACTGACTGACATACATTTGTCAGAATGATATCACATAGATGAGTAGATTTTTAGGAAATGCTTATTGACAAACATTATATAACTTGATAAAAACGACCACTGATTTCGAGCCGAAAGTGGTGTCAATTGCTACAAGGAGAACCGCAGTGCTGATTGCTGAATAGCATATCACTTTTATCTAAACATATGCCTTAAAAAGACTTAATTTACTAAGGCGTAGAACGCCACTGAGTCTGAAGCATGGTTTATTTGAATCGGTAAACGTATCTGCGTAACCCCTATCATAACTTCTTTCGATGAGTGTCATGATACGTCTTATGGAACAAGATTTATTCAGCAGATATACACACCACCTGCGTTTTACTGTCCCAAATTAGAAGGATGGTTAACGTTTCTCAAAAGCTAAGTGAATATATGTACTGTTATTAGTTGGATAAACACAATAGGCAGAAAGCATCGTTTAACCTAGGTTTCATGCTTTTTGGCACTCGTCACAGCAAGGCGTGACTGTAGACTCGACGGGACTGATGTTCCACCTGAGATCCGAACCTGTGTCACCCAGTGCTCCAGTCGGAGACGTTACCACTGAGTTATGCGGGGCGTAACTGACCTCCTACAGGTCCAAGGCTTCCTACCAATTGCCTCCATTCAACTAACATCTATGCCAGTACATCAGGATGGTAAGTTTGGTGGCCACATTGCAAAATGATGGATAAAACTTGGTCAGCACTTGGGAATAGAGAACATGAAGCTGGTTACCCTCCAATGATCAATCAATTTTTATAGTTAGTTTCGAATTTGGGATGACTTTTAAAACACGAAATTAGGGAGAGTGTTATGATGCGGAGTTGTGAGATTGAACTACAATAATCAACGATTGATAGTCGAGGGTTGAGACGGTTCAAACCGAGTGATTCCCAAAGAGAAATCAAAGAACTGGAAATTAGCTGACTTTATAACAGGCTTGAAAAACAAGGAATAATTAGTACATTCAAAGGGACGGGAGCCAATCAAAATGCTAGCGGGTCATACGAAATATCACCCGTGCGCGGGAAAAAGAGCATAAAGTAAAACAGTTCAAATATAGGCATCCCTAATAGAAAGAGATCAGGCTAAACAAACGTGAACCCACCTGATCGAATTAATTTTGTAAATATTTATGGCCTAGAATGACTGGAAAAATAGTTATCTTTAATTGCTTGATTCACGATTAGTTATAGGTTGAAAAGTACAATCATATTTTATTTTGCGTTGTAAACACATTGACAATAAAATAGCAAGGAGATGCTTACGAGTACCAACAGGCATGAAACTTAGGTTCAGGGTTTTCTCCCGATTGCCCCCAATCAACTAACACTTACTAAACAGAAGGTCTACCATCTGCTATGAATCCAGTTTATTTTTGATAAGAAGGGGGTGTGATAAGTTGAAACGAGTAAGGTGATAATATTGTTTTCGTAAGTACTATTTCTACAATGACATCAGTTTGAGATTCATTTAACCAGTATTTTGTCAGTCAGAAGTTGCAGTGTAATGCGTTTTGCATCAAGGGCCATCATGCTTAGAAAGTGATGAATACCTTTTACATGTATACATACATACTACTGCGGTAATAGAGATTATTTACTTAAGATACAGACAGTAACTAGCCAATTTCGTAGAGAGTGAAACTGTGCGTTCCTTGGGTATGGAGCTCAGTCCCTCCCAACTTCTCGGAGAAATTCGGTTTCAAACCCACAGAGTCGACCTTGTTTGCAATGTCTACATTGACTGTGTAATAAATACAACTACAGGCATGACCAACAGTTCTGGTGACTGTATTGAGTTCTCATGTAAAAGTGTGTGTAAGCTTTTGATAAACCTTGAATGAAAACTACTGCTCAAATCTTTTGGTAGTCTTTATGTTTTACTGATTTACTTAGCGTACTATTGAAGTCAAAGTGCACAGCAGCCACACCCAGACAATTCTTTATTATTGATTACGAAGAGGTTTTCCCATAATCTTTACGGAAAAATATAAGTCAATGATAAAACAAAAAGGGTGTGACCATTAACTAAGAATGAACAACTAACCTCTGTCATTTTATATGCTTTCTCAGCAGTACACTCGGATTTTGAAGTTGGATTGCTTAAAGAAAATATAACTGGTCGGTCAGAATTCATAGACATTTGACGAAGGATGTTGTCTGTGAAAATACCACCCTGTCCAGAGGCGCCTGTGGGTGAGAACAAAAATGGTTAAAAACAGCTTGGATGAAATGCAGTGCACACATCTAATAATACAGTAGTTACTAGCCGGCACTAAGCTCGGGGAAAAAGAGGAAAGGTTGGGCATATGGCTAGCAACCCCATTTCGCAAAACCAATCCAACCGCTAAACAAATTTCAAAGCACAAAGAAATTATAAAAAATAAAAACAAAATTATTCCTCACTGGAGACAAAATGACGCCAGTTGGTGAAAGCCTTCGAAAAGCCAATTAGCCAACCTGTCTTCTCTCTCTCTCTCTCTCGATGAAAGCAAAAGTAAACATGGAGACATGGAATATCCGCACCATATTTGAAACTGGCTAGCAAGGCTGCCCAGATTGTAAAGGAGATGAGGAGATACGGCATAGAAGTGCTTGGAATCTGCAAAGCAGATGGAATGCAAGTGGACTCTCAAAACTCTTAACTGAAGAGCCAATAATCTACTCCAATATTATCACCTAGAAGACAATCACGAACACACTGAGTAGTGGAGTGGCTATCATGATGTCCCCAACACCATCAAAGTCTCTCATACAGTGGAAACCAATCTCCTCCAGCATCATGATAGCAAGATTCAACTCAAAAGGAAGGAAAGTCACAATCATACAATGCTACACTACACTGTGCACCTACAAATAATCAAGCAGATCAAGAGAAGAAGGAGGAATTCTACAGACAACTGCAATCAGTACTGGACAAGACCCCACCACAGATGGCAACATCGAAATCCTGATGGGTTGGGTGACATGAATGCCAGTCAAACTGGAAGCGGACAGCAAGCGAAGAGAACTAACTGATCATGGGTCGAGAAGCACTCAGTGAAATGATGAATGAGAGCTGAGAACTGTTTGCAGACTTCTGCGCATTCAACGATTTGGTGATTGGAGGTGAGGTGAGGTGAGGTGAGGCAGTGTGTACAAACACAAGGATATTCACAAGGCGGTGACATGGAGTTGGTTTCACCAAACACCAGGACACACTACACTGAAAATCAGATCAACTTCATCTCAATGTGAAGCAAGTGGAGATGCAGCCAGTCTACTGGACACAAGATCAGATGACCAAGAGGAGCAGATCAAGGTGGTTCACACCACTCACTGACTGCATAGTGCAAGGAACCCACCTTCTAAATCAAGTTGAAAGCCTTCAAGGAAGTTGGTGATAGACCACAGATTGAGTTGAACACCCAGAACAGAAACTGAACTGAACTGAACTCAACTCATTTGAAGGATGAAACTACAAAGGACATCTTCACGTCACTCAGTCATGAGGAAAAATGGGAGATATCGATGAGTATCCCTGAAGAATCCTACTTGGATGAACACTGGAACTGTGTGAAAGAGATGTGGAAAGAAACCTGCATAATGGCATGAGGAAGGAAGAAAAGGCAAGACAAGGAATGGATCTCGCCGGACACATGGAAGGTGATAGAGGAGGGAGAGGAAGATGGTGAAGCAGAAGATGAACCAGTGCAGTGTAGGGATGAACAAGGAAAAGAGGAAGTGAGCACAACCTATACAACACTACACTGGACGGAGAAGTGAAAAAGAGTGCACGGAAAGACAGAACACACTTCTACGACACATTGGCAAGTGAGGCAGAATAGGCTTCTTGTAGGAGAGACGGAGACCTGACAACACTGTATCAAACAACCAGGTTACTATCAGGGAGGGGGGAGATCAACACAGATGAAGCCAATGAGAGAAAGTGAAGGGAACCTAGCTACCAAGGAGAGAGGAGAAACAAAGGAAACAATGGCTGACTACTTCAAAAAACAATTGCATCGACCACCACCACCACCTGCAACTCGTCCACAAATACCACCAGCAACCAAGCCACAGAACTACCACTGAACACAAGCTCTCGATAAAAGCAGAAGTGAAGTGCTGAACGCCACAAACTTACTGAAAGCCGGAAAGCAGCAGGACCAAATAGAATACCTCCAGAAGCACTGAAACAAGACTCAGAAACATCAGGGGCGGACATGCTCACACCACCACTGCAGAATGTTTGCAAGGAAGGAAGGGAAGGTACCTGGCGATTGATTGGAAGAAGGGTTACCTTGTCAAACTACAAAAGGAGGGAGACCTAAGTGTTTGCAAGAACTGATGTGGAATCATGCTACACCCATGTCCACCCCAAGCAAAATATTAGGCCACATCATCATGGAGAGATTAAAGGATGCTCTCGATTCAAAATTACGACCGGAATAGGCTGACTGGCTGGCTGCCTGGCTCGCTTCAGGAAGAACAAATCATGTGGGGATCAAATGGCAACGCTACACTACGCATCATCATAGAACAAAGTATAGAATCCCAGTCAACTCTCCACCTCAACTTCATCGACTTTCAAAACGCCTTACTTCGATAACGTCAACCGAGAAGTAATTTGTTTGCCAGCTGCTTCAACACTATAGTTCCAGTGCCACAAATCTTCATCAACCTCATTCAACAGGTATATGACGACGCCACATGCCAAGTGATCTACAATGGAAAGCTTAGTGACGCCTTTGCATTGAAGGCAGGAGTAAAACAAGGCTGTCTACCATCACCCATAATCTTTCTGATTGTGGTCGACTGGACTGAATCATGCAGCAAACCGTGAGGAGCAAGAAGATGGGCATACTCTGGCTGGATCGATGAAAAGAGCCTAGAAGATTTGGATTTCGCCGATGACGATTTATGTCTAATGTCGCACAAACTTGAAGATCTACAGGCAAAAACTAACAAGTTGACAGAAGAGGCAGGGCAGAGAAGACAGGACTTCAAGTGAAGGTAGGGAAGACAGAGGTGGTGAAGACACCCAACCAACGCCACCACCAACAACAACAAGCTCCAATCACCATTAACAGGAAAAACCTAAAGGAAGTAGTCTCTTTCACCTACCGACCTACCTAGGCAGCATGGTTTCGACTACAGGCGGCACAGACGAGGATGTCAAAGCCAGCCAGGATCGGAAAGGCAGCAAGACAAACCTTCCTGTATTAACCTGAAATCAATGTGGAGATCTACTGCACTGAACTCACCATAAAGCGTGAGCAAGATCCGGATTTTCAACACCAACGTCAAGTCAGTGCTGCTATATGGTTCAGAAACTTGGCATGTCACGAAAAGCATTTCCAACAAACTACAGATATTCATCAACAACTGCCTACGCTGGCTCGTTACTAAAGCTCAGATGGGCAGAAAGAATAAGCAACAAGGAACTCTGGCAGGCTGGCTACGAACCAACCAAGAACCTATCGCTAAACAAATATGCAGAAGAAAGTGAAGATGGATTGGGCATACACTGAGAAAACCATTCGGAGACATCACGCACCAGGCCAGGTCATCGAGTGAAATCCAAAGAGAAAACGACGAGTTGGGCGTCCAAGTTGAGGGTGAGATGAAGGAGATCATGTGAGGAAGAAATGAAACCTTGTGGGCAGTCGCGGAGCAAGGTCCAAAAGACTGCAGAGAAGACAGTGCAATTTAGGCGTGCTACTGAAGCCCTATGTTCCACTAGGAACCCGAGGGAAAAAAATAACAATGATAATAATAATGACTAATTCTTTACCACAATATATGACTTTTCCTGAACTTTGGAAGAAGGGAACATAATTTTATTCATTACTGCCTGAGTGAAGTCTAACTGCAGTACTACTTGGTAACATGGATGTGGAAAACAATCCAGACGGAGACAGAATTCGCTGATAGTTCCAGATATAATCTACTAACTAGATCAAGTAAACACAAAACGTTGCCAAGGCCCTCCTAATGGTAACCATCGACTTTTCAGATTGACATCATTCGGGACTTTACTTTCGTAGAACAAACAAGTTACTTAAAAGGTACCGTTCATTACTGAAGGTTATACTTAGTCGATCATAAGTTCATGGAATATTAATCTAATTATCTGTGTAACCGCAGGTTTCGATAGTGCTTTGCTTAGTTCAGATAAGGAATTCGACTAATCTCACAAGGCATCACACTTTAGACATATGTGTTAAGCCTAGTGAAGCAACATGCACTTTTTAATCGCATGAAAATAAGTAAAAGTAACTTAATAAATTAGTTCAACACACAATTATCGAAACGTGATGCATGGAGCATATGTACCGAAGGTTGTTTAGTGAAATACAGAGATAATGGCTTTATTTGATAGTCGTAAAGAATGACGTATAAGAGTGGTTTGCCTATAGTGCGTTGAATGTATACGAAAAGCTGGAGAAACTGCAGTACCCCATAGTGAGGAAAATTAAATGGAACTTCGAAGCAAACTGTTATCCTAGTAGCATATATGCCGAGAGTTTTTTCAATGCCTGAAACTTCTGCTAAGGGTAAATAATGAAGCAATATCATGAACTTCATTTCTTTGTTTATTCATGCAGACCTTTAAACCATTTTCCGAAAGTCACATAAGTAAACACACATTTGACCACGTTGTATAAGATGACGAGAGGGTTGAAGTCTTGGACATGTTGTTACATGAAAAAAGATATTTTCATTGAGATTTCACAATTATCGAATTATATATAGCTGAAAGCTAATATGAACAAAGTCGTCACTGGGATGCCTTCGCGTTACAAAAATTACCAATGCCCAAACATTTGGAGGGTTAAATTATTCTAGCAAAAATGGTATGAGTTGAAATATAACAAACAAAAAAGAAGTGAAAAATAAGGAAATTATACCGCTGATTATAAACAGTGAGGTTCATTAGCCAGCCGGCCAGACAGAATCAACATAAAACCAAGCATACGACTGCTTCAGTTCAAGTTACCAAACATCAAAAAACCATGCTAAGAACAAGTAGATAGAAGTGAAAAGTTATACATGGAAAGCAAGTTACTGCTATAATAGTTAGGAGTACCATTTTGTCTTTTAGCCTTATATTATTTATCGATTTGTTATACTGTGACTTTAGTTGCCTTCAGTTCTATTCATTTTCTGTCAATCACCACAATAAACACAAAACCCAAGCATCACACTTACAGAGTATTTATGGTCGAGATGAGTGCTATCCATAGATCAATCTAATAATAATGCAAGTAAAAAAAACGATAAAGTTTCACAACACCTAAGATTTTGTGTTTTGGTGTTTACATTGAAAAACTATCATACGTTAGATTTAAACTTTACTAACTGGATAGAATTCGCTAGTCCAAATAACCGTATTTACGTGTCCTGATCATTTAGATTTGTGTGTAAAATAAACAAAGCGACTGTAAGTACACTTCATATTAGCTATATGGTATGACGCGACAAGCTGTTTATGAAATTTTTTTCAATATATAAGAAACGTAAGTCACTTTAAATACCGCTAACATGTATTTCATTTTGAATACCATTTTTAAAAAAAATCATAAACGTCATATTAACATGAGTACAATCAACTCACTTTATGCCTACTGTTGTTTAAGAATTAGACTGTAGTTTTTCTCAAATAATAATATTACTATCATCACCAAAATTAGTCAAATCAAATCTTTAAAATGACTTAGCATTCACAGTATCGTTCTAGTACACTAGCCTGTTAACCATGACTTTCATTTGACAACCTAACTTGCGTTAGCAGCGAATGGTAAAAGTGGATAGTATGTCTAAGACTAAAATAAATGAATAGTTGTAATTATGCTAGGGTTCTGGTAAAAAAAAATATTAATTTTTTATTGATCTGGATGAAAGATAACTTCTCTGACATATTCCTAGACTATTTACCAGATTTTTATGTTGCTTCTTGTAATTGCCTGTCGTTGATCGAGGTGAATTCAGTAGCCTCCACTGATAAATGGGCTCCTGCAGGGATGCCTCGATAGTGCATGTATTTTCAGCTTGATATTAATGATGGAAAATGGTAAGCAGCGGAATCCAGAACTTGTGTTTCGTTCTATTCACAGCTCGCCAACTGGATGTACTTGCACCTCAGTGGGATTTCATTCCCACTGAGACTAGAAGCCAGGATCGATCATTTCAAACGCCAGAGCGTTATCCGCTAGGCCACTGAGTCAAGATAACAACTTCTTAAACGACAGATATATTTGTCTTGTTATTGCTTGTAACTTTCCATCGTTGATTGAACATCTAGCTGACCAGTCCCAAGCAGAACTAGATTCCACTGCTAGTCGCTATCCATAATTACTAGTATCATCTAAAGCATAAGTACTCCATCTGAGGTGGTCAGATCCATCACCTTATTCGCCTAGTTTTCGATACAATCGTCATCATAATCTTCGTTTATGCGATTTGTTTTTTCTTAGTTTCCCTTCGATATGGTCTGTTTTGAATGGTTTATGTTGACGTGACAAGAGAAGTTACATCATAATGGTATCGAAAAAAATCGCAAACCGTTAGTAGTTAAAATTTTTTCAATGAGTTGAAGCGATAATACTATTCCTGTTGTGGATTCTGTAGGGTAAAGAGATGATATCCAACCAATTTTGAAGTGCAATATTATCACTTAAACATGCTAAAGATTTAGAGGAATATTCGTAATTCTGAATGTAACATGAGTAATGAGGATGTTGTGAGTGAACGACAAATTTAAGGATAAGCTGGTCAGATCGTATCAAACGAAACCGTTTGCTAACACGTCATCTCTTCGATGGCATAATTCTGATGAGGAAAACTTTCGAAGTTCCTAAGTTAAAGTACCTAGTTGTGTAATCGATGGGGAAAGTGCATAGTACCTTGTAAATACCACTGTTGAAAAGGCAAGCTTATAGAATGAAAGTCTCTTCAGCATGACAGTAATAAAGAGAAGTGGTAGAGGAGGGAAGCAGTTGAAGGAAGGCAAACAGGAATTGTCAACATGTGATATGATAGCCTACTTCATTCATTCTTAAGAGCTTCCCTTGAAATGCTGTCGTGAAAGATTTATGTTTATGTAAAACGACTTGACTTTTTTTACTCCTGGTATTGTCAATTGGTGCATTTTGTGCTTGAATTCAATGGTTTCTTTTGGGTCAACTTATTGGTTGAAGGTGCTAGTAACTATGCAATCGTTTTGATCGAGATCCGAATTTTACGTGTTGAAATGACATGTTTTATCTCGCTTCCTGCATAAATTAACCTAAACCTAGAAAAAAGAAGCAGTCAATCCTAATATCAAACTTTAGGAATGCGTAAAGGATAATGAATACAGGAATAGGGGAGACAAAAAATTTTCTACTCAGAAGGGTGACAAAAGGGAATAAATAACTACTTTACTAAAGGTCAACATACCAATAATTGCTGTCGGCTTGAGAGTTTTCACTGCATCTTCCAATTGACGTATATGTTCTGTATCATTACGCGCAAATAGTTTATTGTGATCTGTATGTGAACCTTCTTGACGTGACTAAAAGTAGTGCGAATCAGATAGCAAGTACATTTAGTACGGTAAGACAGACATTAGAAATTTTATAAATTAAACGTGGATTATACAATAGCTGAGAAACAATGAGGTCATTACTGCTCTTAGCTAACAACCTTCGTCAAGAAATTGTTCTTTTGCTATTCAAACCCATAAAGGGGAATTTTATGTATGAGATTTCTGAATTAATTGTTTACTGGCCTTTCCTTGTATTTTCAAACAGAGGTATATATAAACAGAATGAGTCACCGCAATGATCAATGATTAGATCTCATCTAGTTACGCATGATAAAATTTGTCCGTAAAAGCAAAAATCCAGAGAATATATTAAGTGGAAGCATATAGTTAATAATGAAGCAAGAAAAATGTTACAACTGATCAAACAAGTAATTATTGTTAATAAATATGATATCAGTTTGAAGACATCACTTAAATTGAGGTCACTTTCATGAAACTTATGCAGGCAATACATGCAGAACTAATTATATTTACCCGTTCCGCTAGAGTAATTGAAATAAGTTAGTCAATTGTTTTGATGATACAACGTTTAAGTAATACTAAACAGTACAAAGATTTAACAGGGAGTCAATGCACATAGACAGTATGCTTATAATTTAAACAAATGTGATTTATGACTAAAAGATAATGAAGAACATTGAGATCTTTAATCACACTGTGGCTCATCAATCTAAGCAGCTGGCTTCCAAGCAGCGGAATACAGGTTTAAACTGAATTCCAAATTATTAGGTTTGAGCAGTGAGACAGTATCATTAGCCTTCACATAACAGAAGCGGCCTACTGTCTATTGGACAGACAGGATAATGATTGTTGAGTCATGTTATACCAATACGAATTTCAGAATGTTATTTAATGATGGTGAAAAAGAAAAGCAGAAAACCCACAAAAACTTAACTACTCACGGTCCAAAAAAGATGGAAAAAGTAAATAAGTGGGAAAGACTGTCTAATTAGATAGAAGGACAAATCAACTTAAAACCTCGCACAAAATTGCATCGGTTCAAGTTGCCACACTTCACAGCAAGTGGGTAGAAATAGAGTGACATCAAAGTAGACAAAAGTGTAGAGGAGGAGGAAAATGAGAAAACACAGGTAAGTGAAAATGCTCAAACTTTCGATTTTCAATGATATCACCAACGGTCTCCAATCATTGACCTCACTTGTCTCAAGGACACCAGTCATGTAGTTTACGTCTCCCTACACTACTCATCAAGTTAGAGACTTCATCGAATGGTGTTTTGCCTTGGTTTGACTACTCTGAACCTTCTTCCAACTTAATCCTACTTCGGTTAACATTAAACGTCAAGGTAAGTGGAGGTTTCACATACGCAACTAATGTCGGAGTAAACTCAGTCGACGAAGGTTCACAACCACATCGACTGGCTTGCCTAGTGCCCTCCGCTTAACCTTGTGGCTGTACATACGATGATTACATCACATGTGAGCAATGTTACAAAAACACTTGTGATCAAAAGCCTTCAGTCTTTTGATATCTTAAACTTTCAAAGACTATGTCTCACAGTTGCATAGTGGATAGAGCGGACTGCAGAATGCCTACCAAATATGTTTCATGACAAGATATAAAGTTTGGATGAGTATCAAATAAACAAGCCTCATTTGACTATTTCACTTCATGAGATCTCCAGTCTATTGTATGGTTTCGCTTGTCGTACTTATCTCACATAAGTCGTAGAAATTTTGTGAATCTTGTATTCTGCTTTTCTGGAGAAGAACAGTGGAAGCGACATGATACACTCACTATATTTTTAATGATGAGCGTAATACCAAAACTTCATGCAGCAGAGTGACAATGAAGGCAGATAGCAAATTCCCTTTTAGTTGATGCTTTTTCGAAGTATTGCTTCAATCTGTGAGAGAAAAGCATACTCCCGAATATACATATACAGTCTATATTGCTCCTGAAACGAACGAACTATGAAGTATTTGGTGCTAGAGCTGCCTCTAATTGACCGTCGAGAAGACCTCGACCAAGTGTTAAAGCTCAAGGAAAGTCAAACAGTTATCATTCTTACTTCGAACCACATATTTCTATTGTCAGTTAAATCAATTCCATCTCAGACAGATAAGTGAAGTAAGGAATTCACATTTTGCGCGAGTAGTAATATGGTTGAATGGAACACAAATTGTAAGGAAACCAATCCATTCAACCCGCAGAAGGGGATGAGATAAGAAACAATGTCTCTTAAACATAAAGCCCATGAGTAAGACAGTAAACATCCAAGTTCGTCCTGGGTAACAACAACAATGGAAATCACTGAGAATCTCAAAACTGAAGGTGAGGAGAGTTAAGGAGTTTTGATAACAGGTATATGAATGGAGACAATAAATAAAATTTTGACAAAAGAAGGACTCCCTCTTGTCATTTCCTAAGATGATTAACATCTATTAAATGATGTCTAAAGTGCGTATTTTCTAAAAATAACCAAATATATCATCATCAACATACGGATTATGAATCTGGAATCTATCTATATTCATTTAACGCCTTCTACTGACCTTCAGCGCTTAGGTTATTCAATAAAGTTGCATTAGCGAATAAACAATGGTGATAGTTCAATATTTCTGTTGTATTCCTGAGTATTCAGAAGTGTTTCTGACGCTAAATGACTCAAAGATTTCTGCGTGTTGGTCGTCAGGCAGGACCAGTAGCAAGTATATGAGACTTTATGCAAGTACTACTAAATATAAAAACTCTACAATACCGTACTTAGTTCGTATGCTGCTAGTGGAAGGAAGTGTAAGAAATGAACTGACTAATCAAATTTCGTTTCTGAAAGCAAACTGACTGAGGATTTCTTCGCTTGCTGTTACCTTAAAATGATGATTCCAATTGATTATCGGAGTTGACTCTGCATTTTCAAGGAAATTATAGAGTGAGTAAATATTCTAATCTTTATATGTAATTTCTACTTATTTCATTTTATTATGTGCACTGTTCCTGTCCAACTGATACTACATTCCCAAAATATCTATCAGAATAAAGCCATTGTTTTCATGATTATTATTATAAAGAAATTCCATAGTCGAAAGGTATTTAATGGTGAAACAGTACGAAAGAAAATCAAATATCTCAACAACATATTACTTATCGTTTTTAAAACAGTTACGCTTCTTCATGTCCTCAACACTCCCCAAGAAAAGGTTCGTTTTGGAATCGGGGTACACAAATACAACTGAAGAGAGCTGATCAAGCCCATGAACAGTTGATATCCATGTGTAACATTTTTCAGATATGTCAAGAGTATGATGTTATGTTGAAATAAATCAAATAAATTTCACGCGAGAAAAATGCTATTACCGGTAGAATGACTTGACACTCTACGAAGCCTAGCAGACTACGAACGATACAAACTTAACGTGCAAACGAATCGACTCTAACACAAATCAGAATGTCAACCACAACAACAACAATACCACAGACGCATGAAGACAAAAAGAGAAGACAGACCGTTCATCACAGAGGGCTTTTACTGTCTCAATAACAGTCAATACAGTTGACAACGATGCTGAATATATACATTTCTAAATGGCCTTAACAACATTGAATCCACATATGGGTAAAAATAGTTACAACCAATGAGAGTTCAGTCTTTAGAGCAGAGTGAAAAGAAACTAATAACTGTGTGAAAATAACCATGTAGGTTATTTCAAAGTCATGTGCAAAACAGCAGGCAAAGCTATGCAAAATTAGGAATATATAGCAAATACAAAATAATTGCTTTCTGTTGCTGTCGTAATAAAAAAAATCTATAAAACTCGAACAATGAATAAAGTAGCATGCTTACATGGGTCAGTAATCCATCCTTATCGAACATGTATATTCTATTATAGGCCTCCTGCTCAGTTAGTCCATTCAGCTGGAGTGATGTAGCCAATAAATGAGCGATGCCAGTTGCAGCCTATTCGATTAAAATAATACACGAAGATTATTGAAGACACATAAACAAATGTAATGGGTTGGTAATATAACGAGTAGTGAATATCGGTATTCTGTCGTAGACAATGTGAAAGAAATGGAACAAACTTCCAACCGAAATGAAGTAATAGTCAATACATTATTGGGCGTTTTTGTTACTCCAATAAAATTTTACATGAATGCAAAGTGCATTACATTGGAGAAACAAAATAAAGGCAATGAACATATCTGTTTAGTCAGATATCAAAAAGGCTGAACATATCACAACGCTATTTAGTCGACCCTGACAAGCAAACAATTGTGTATCAACAAATAGAAGTGCATACAAAGTGAAAATTAGAACGGAATTAGAAATGACCGCTGTCAGTTCGGTTAGTCTCTATCTATTTACCTACTTGGTAAACCAGAAAATTGTGAGAAAGTAGCTTGGAAAAGATATAAATTTCTTTCAAAGCATAAGATTTACGATATATACAAACAAATACATAAAAAGACATGGTTTCGTAAGTAATTTTCTTTTCAAACACTGCGACAAAGACATCATCATGCGATAACTGCCAGCACGAACCAATTAATCAAGTAGTCTCTGTACACTTCTTTACAGATAAATGATAGTCCAGAACATGGACATAAGTGTAAAAGTTGGCCACTGTTGCAGAATATAATTCCATATTACGTTTGTTTATTCGATTTATAACACACAGTGATACAGTATTATCTACTTGATGACATTTCAAGCATAAATTATTATTCATTATCATATCAATCTAATCACACCACTTTCAACAATCGATTTTTATACTCATATCACCTCATATTCTTTGTGTGTATTGGTAGCAACATTTTCCATATTCCTGGTATACTTGTTGCATCATTTCTACTACATGTATTGGGTGTTGGTTCGATGAACATATAGCTTCAGTAACTAATCTCTGACCACTTAACTAAATTGGATTCAAATACAGGGGTTTTATCCCACTCTGTTATGCATGCACTGCAATAGCTGAGTTTTGTTTTCTAGATTATTGGTTTTATTGAAGTCTGTCATTCCCTGTTTGACTAAATTCATATGTCCCAACAATCAAAATGAATCCGATAGTACGAATTTCTCAATAAACTGTTGAGGATAATTATCAGTTGGTAACGTTTCTTTCATGTGCCCCAATTCCTGATTTAAGTCCTTGTACTGACTAGTGAGTTTTCTAGCCTATTATTTAGACATTTCACTAAACCTGCCTTAACTGGAATTGGATGAGATGACTTGAAGTCTAGATACTGGTTAGAATGTGTTGGTTTCCAATAGACAGTAGTTTCTTTACCACCGTCTGTTCCTTGTTTTACTGTGCAATCCAACATAGCTAATTCTCCTTGCTCATTTTCTACCTCGCAAGAGAATTGGATTGCACTTACTACTGAGCTAATGTGTGTGAAGGAACCGTTTATATGTCCCGATTTTAATACACTAAATGTATTATCCACATATCGCCGCCATATCGTAGGTGTAGGATTAAATACCGTTCATAAAGTCATGCTTTCCCAACTATCCACAAATATATCTGCTACGACTGGGGATGTTGGTGATTCCATTGCTACTCCTTCTGCTTGTCTATATATTTTATCCTAAAACTTGAAGACTGTGGAGTTCTAGCTCAACTGTACGCCTAATATCAACTATTACCTTAGTTCCATGAGTAAGTCCTGAGTGAATGAATATTCAGCTGATTTCTGATTTCCTCTGGTGTTATATTGATTGATACTTTAGCACAAAGACTTGCTGCATCCAGACTAACTATTTGTCATTAACTTTTATATGTAAGTTATTGAGTCTTAGTTTTGACTCGTAGGATTTGGCTAGTCTAGAAGTTAATCGATTTCCTATAGGACATGATGTCGATGCTAAGTGTTTCGGTAATCCATATGTTTCTGAAGTGAACTGTGTAATCTATCAAAATAATCTGATCTACCAGGTTCCATGCAATGACTATGAAGTCAAGAACATTGGTCAAACTAGTTGGCTGGATCCAATTAGACTATCGGAACATAGGAATTTAGTCAAACAGGGAATGACAGACTGCAATAAAACCAATAATCTAGAAAACAAAACTCAGCTATTGCAGTGCATGCATAACAGAGTGGGATAAAACCCCTGTATTTGAATCCAATTTAGTTAAGTGGTCAGAGATTAGTTACTGAAGCTATATGTTCATCGAACCAACACCCAATACATGTAGTAGAAATGATGCAACAAGTATACCAGGAATATGGAAAATGTTGCTACCAATACACACAAAGAATATGAGGTGATATGAGTATAAAAATCGATTGTTGAAAGTGGTGTGATTAGATTGATATGATAATGAATAATAATTTATGCTTGAAATGTCATCAAGTAGATAATACTGTGCGCTGTATATCGAGTGAACAAATCGAATCTGGGATAGCAGAAAACAACTGTCTAATCTGGAAAAGCCAATTCACAAACTGACCGTTTCTTTACTTCTACTATTCAGTTCCAGAGACAGAAAACAGTATTTATTGTATTATGGAAAATATTGGAATAACATATGTTGTAGAATAAATCCAAGCAGATTAATGATCTCCACTGGATATAAATACGTCGAAGGACATCATTACTATGAACCAAAGTTTCGACTGAATACAAGTGAGCTGTGAACAGCGAGTCTTCTCAATATCCTAATACCACATATCAGAAGTTTCAATCGTATCAGTGTTATGACGTCGAATGCGATAAACCAAAACATAATATGTGATTTCAGAACAAGTCGGGCACATCTTGCACTAGAAGATCATCATAAAGAAGGAAGCAGTGGCAGGAAAACTCAAAAAAAACACTGTTACTCAGACGGCCCCATTGGTGGTAAGTCGTGAAGTACCTAAACGGTTAGGATAGATCAAATCAAAAGATAGATAAACAAAGAAGCTAGCATAACTGGATATAAGTTAATGTTGCTACAGTAGGAAGTTGATGTAGAAGCAAACAGGAGATACAAAAACAGGATAGTATTAGTGGCTCAAGGAAAAAGGATGCAAATGAGTCGCAGTTGAATTGCTCGAAATCCCCAACCATCGGTTTTCATCAAACTTCGATAACGTTATCAGAAGGTGAAGTCTATTTGAACAATGTGACCGATATATCTGCACAATACATTTCGAACAATCTGATCACACATTTACTTGTCAAGTCAATCTATATATGAAAATGAAAGGTCAAATAAAATGAATGTGAAAAGGTTGTGACACTAGTGTCTTGGTAATATAATCCGATAAGGATTATCAAGGTAAATTAAGTGAAACAATAAATTGTTTTGGTACACACAACAGGAGCTTTAGTTTACGAATAGCTAACGCCTCGGCGAATTTCAGCATGCGCCCCTGACTGTTCCCATATATCTTGAATGCTGTTTTCTTACTAACCTTACGATCCATTTCGATGATGTTTTGCTATAGGTGAAGATGGATGTCTGTCACGTGTTTCTATTAAAGTTTGTGATAGATTGGCGTTAACCATTCGTAAACTTAAGACATCGTTGCGCGTACAAAAACAACTTATTGTTTCACTTAATTTACCTTGATAATCCTTATCCGATTATATTACCAAGACCTCTCCATATTCATTTTAATATATAAATTGACTTGACAAGCAAATGTGTGATCAGATTGTTCCAAATGTACTGAGCAAACACATCAGTCACATTGTTCAGATAATCTTTGCCTTCTGATAACACTACGAAATTTATTAAAGGGACTAATTGTTTCGAAATTTATCAAACTGTTTAAACAAGATGACACCAGTAAATGCATACACATCGTAGGTGGTGACCGGTGGTTTCGGTTGTTATCAAATACGTCTATCAATCGAAGCAATCAATAGTTCTGATGTTTTCTTTTGCTTTCCATGAAATTTAACACCGGAAATAAAAAGTAAATTATAGCTCAGCTTTTTCAGTAGCTCAAGTTGACCCTGTTAGTAATATGATCATAATTATGATATCATAGGCATCTTTTTTATATTTAAGCCATACTATTATTCCGTTTTGATATGCGTACTTTTTAGTAACCAACTGGAACAAGGTGTGTTTAAAGTACAGTGAACACAGAGACACTGAGACTAGTCAAACTGATGAGCATACCCATAACTAAACTCTTGATTACAGATTAGAAACAACCGATTTGGAAAAAAAATTACGCTGAGTTCGAACCTATTAAACAAGTTCAAACCAGATATCCAAAGTTTACCAAACTCTGGAAGAAAAACACCCTTGCTGTTATTCCACTTTAGATAATATTCATTTTTTGTTTAATGAAGCACCTGTCCTCGTTAATCTAGATGGCTCGTAACACTAGGCCACTCACCCCCTGTGAACAGAACCTCTGTTGCTGAATATCTCTGATTCCATTACACCTGGTCACGCAACAGACGTCGATGAGATATCACTCAAACTTTCTGTGTTGAATAGTCTTTTTAAGAATGCAGATTCCCCTCAATGTTATTCAAATAATTTTTGTTTCTTCGAATTCCCCATAGCTTAGTCCAAATTCATATGGTAATTAGGAATTATACTGTGTTCAGCTTTTCACCTTATGTGGTCATGGTATGAACTGGAATACTACACTGGTGTCATATGACTGCTGAGTAGGCCAAATTATTCCATGTGTATGCACGGAATAAACAACAACTGAAGAGAGGATAGTTAGTCATTAGTCGACAGTCTCCAGGATTTCGGGCAGATACAAAAAATAATTTTCGACGTAAAACGAATTTCGCAAGTATACTTATCATAGAAGGCATCCTCATGTGGAATGTGAAGCGGTTAAAAGATAAAGTTAATACTTAAAGGTTAATGAATAGAGTTAAAGCCGCTGAATGATAACTTTTTGGCTAGGAAGTATGAAGGCTGATGAGGAATAGTAATGAGTATGGAGATAATTATAGAGCAATCGCCCAGAATTACTGAATTGTTTCAATAGAGAAATATATTAGGAAGACAAATAGATAAAATTGCATCCCACCTTACCTCACCAGCACCAACGAAAAGAAAGATATTGTCTGCAAGTTTACGCTGTGTTATACGACCAGCGGCTATCAGTCCAGCTACAGCTACAGCTGCAGTGCCTAAAAATGGGGACAAATAAATTAGCAGATAGCAAAAAGAAAACATACAGTATTTGTTTATTTCCGCGAAACTGTTGCAAATATAAGAGACTTTAACTGGCATGAAAAGACTATCAACACAAAGTTGTACACTAAAATCCATAGTATTCACAAAGCAGTCTGATCACTTCACTTTACGGTATTTTACCAGAAAAATAACCGAATAACCGCAACTGCCAGCAGGTAGGTTGAAAGTTGCGGTAACCAAGAACAAAAACCTGTTCCGAAGGTCTATATTAATACTAGTAACACCACTCTGCATATATAGTGGGAAAACACCAAGACTAATAATGGTTGGTTAGGTAACCTACATTATTTACTACCTGCGAGTCATCCATATGAAAACGGTTTCCTTAAAGTCATTAAAAAAACTTACCCTGTATATCATCATTAAAAGTGCAGTAGTTTTGTTGATATCGTTCAAGTAAACGGAATGCATTATGATTGCCAAAATCTTCAAATTGGATTAAACAATGGCTACCATAACTGGCAAAAAATAAATAAATAAACTTTCCAAATAAATGAAATATTAAGATTTTATAAAAGTTTTTTCTTTCATTTTAATAATTACACACAGTAGCAGCGCGTATAGCAAGTAAGTTAGGTTCCTGAATCGATATAAAAGAATCCTACTAAATAACAGCGAGTTTTTGGAAATTTTCCATCTACCTCATTATTTCAAACAGGAATCTCTGCTATGGTATGGAAAAAAGTCGAAATGCTCTCATCATTATATATATATATATATATATATATATATATATATATATATATATATATATATATATTGCACCGGTTATCTTACCACTTTTCTACTGACCGAAGAGCTGAGCGATTATCAATCACGGGTGGGATCTGAAGGTTATTATTTAAGTGTTCAAATACATATGTAACGAGGTTATTGTCAGTCTCAATGCATCACTGGAAGTGTATGGAAAAGGTGACAAAATGAGCTGATAGTGTGTTCCACAAAAGTAAAATCATTTAATCTTAGAAGCTGGGATGTTTTTACAGATACCGAAAAGGTAACTATGTCTTTACCTCTCGTCGGTCAAATCTGAATCAGCGAAAAAGACAATAGATACGAACTAGCCAATTATAATTCCAGTATAAGTTGTACAACGCATCACCTACAGTTATAAATACATAATGCCCTTTCGTGTACCTTATCATTATATTCCCTTCAGAAATGACCGAGTGGAAGTGATTGACAGAATAACACGAGATACGAAAAACGCTACTAACGCAATCAGACTCCGACCGGATACGTGTAGCGACTGACCTCCCTCAGTTCTGATACTTGACTGAGCCGTGACAACCAGAAGACAAGGACCGGCCTGTGATTATAAGGAAAAAAACTTGATCCGACAAAAAAACATTTATACAGTTTTTCCTCAGAAAATAAAGGCACTAGGTCAGAAGTCTGATACCAATTTTCTAAGGTCAGTTGAAGGACAAAATTGCCTAATAAGGTTTTTCCGCTCACATACTAACATGAAACCAAGGTTGAAATCCAAAACTTCTACCTTAGCGGCTGACGACTTAGAATGTTGGTTTCGATTTCGACTGCTTTCAATCACCCTTACAATGACTTGAAATAAATGTTTGTGGTTAAAGCAATGTGCTGGCTGTCAGAACCTTTGCCAATGATTTTCTGGAGCCAAATGATGAGGATTTTGAAGACTGAACCCTTAGTGCATATAAAGTAACCTAGTCACATCTGTCGAATAAAACTCATCACTTAGAATGTTGAGATTTATCTTCAGAATACGGAACACTGGTGCTGACCTAATTAGATACTTCAAAACTTATTGTTAGACACTACACATTTTCGTTGATAAATAGGTAACATCTTTATGATCCGCAATATTTTTCAAAGTGGAAGTTAAAGATAAAAGTCAAAAAATCTGCAGAATAGAATTTCCCAAACATTTTAACTGTACCTTGGTGATCAAATTAACTACTATTTGTATCTACAATGGGTAAATAACCCCACAGTAACTATAACTATGAGTTTCCAATCACAATTGGTGGGGTACCAAGTTTTACAATCACTCTTCAACTGGTAGCGTAGGAAATAAAGCTGAACATGGTTACTGCAGTGAACATGTTCGCTTCATTCGAAAACGGGTGTGTTAAACACAGTGAATACGATGTATACATATAATTCTTACCGTTCTACAACAGCTGTCATAAAATTTTCGATCAACTCATCATATCGTTCATCACGTACACGTTTATGCCTGATACCTGTGTAGACAGGATCCTAAAGGAAATACAACAGAAAAGCAGGGAAAAAGATGTTAGAAAACGCTAAAGACTTTTTTAAATGGAATCTGACAAAACTTTAATATTAATGAAACTATCTGAAATAGTCGAGGTTTAGCAAACTGGTGTAATTGGTACTACGTGATGATTGAAGATGAAATGAAAGCCTAGATGGCAACAGGGTTCAAACCAACAGTTGCCAGTTACCGACTCGACACTGCCTCAATTGAGCAGCTGGTAAAGTGTCGGGTTGGTAATACGAAGGTAGCTAGTTTGAATCCCGTAGTGGTTCAAGTCTTCATTTCATCTATAATTATCATTTAATATCAGTAACTTCAACAGACAATTAGGTCAGTGGAAGGATATAACTGAATGGTTTTGTAAATAAGATGGGTTCAGAAAACATAGATAGAAGGGTAACACTAAAGTCAGTGGGATCCAAATCAATAAATGTAAATGGTTTAGGATGAATGATTTTATTAGTCTACTAGATTAGAATATTTCAGGTAGGTCATGTAGAGACTGTCTTATCTTTACACTAGCAAACAAAACACAACACAAATTAATACATTACAAACTTAAAAACAAACTGTTAGTCAAAATCACTTTCACCTATAAAACATTCCCCTCATAAAAGGTATGCATTCCATTTCATGCCAGGTCACCTATCAATAAATACAATTTAGTAACTCGGCAAACGAACATGCATGACTGTGAACCATAATAATTATCCTGTAAGGATCAAAAGTATCATAAGATCGTACAGTGAAATACCCAACTGACTTCAAACATCTAATAACTTTTAAATACAACTTTAATTATTTCCTTATTTAATATACGCTTCGTTTAGTTTCTGAAGAGACTAAATATTCTAAGTTAACGTCCTGCTAAAAAGCTTAGTCATGGGTACCACTTTTTGCGACATAATACCTCTAAAACTGGTAAAAAAAAACGTCAAACAGACAAAAAGAATCAATGTAGAACCTCGCACACATATGCATCGACTCAAATCGCCACACTTCATAGAAGTACAAAAAGGAACAGGAGGATCGAAAAAGAGTGGTATGAAAGAAGACAAAGTTATCTGAGAGAATAAACCATTTGAAGATAACAATTAGTGCGAATATTCAAGCTTTAGATGACACCAAAGAGTGAATATATACATCTGTCCCATTGTGATCGATTTTCAGCCATACCACCAAGATCACCTAGAGTCAGTCTCCAACCACTGGTTCCTCTTGTCCTGCAGTTCCCAACCGGCTAGTCTGCATTGCCCCACATGGCTCAAACCAACAGTCAAAGACTTCATACACTGGTGCCATGTTTTAGTCTGCCTACCTTGAGCCTTTTTCCAGCCTGGACCTACTTCAGCCAACATTGCATGACGAGGCAATCGACGACCAGGCATACGTAATACGTGTCTCAACCATCTCAGCCGATAAAGGTTCACAACCGTGTCAACTGATTTACTTCTTCTCCCTAAAACTCAGTAGAACAGACCGGACTGCTGTGGAGGTGTATTACACGCAACCCTTAATAGACAATCGGATATCACGGTGGCGCTATAGGTTGCATAAGTTGGTGAAAGCCAATCGAGCCTTTTGTATTCGTGCAGAGATTTCATCGACCACTGAGCTAGCCCCCAGGGCTGATCCTGTTTCCCAGGTAAGTGAAGTGGTCAACACACTCAACCACTTCACTCTCTACTGTTAGTCGTGGCACTGTTGAAGACCAATCCTGAAGCAACAATTTCCATTTGGGTGGTGAGAAAACGCATCCCAAACATTCTCGAATTCCCACTCAAAGTGTTCAGAAGACTGCATCTTGTCAGCGTCTTCACCTAACAGGACTATGTCATCTGCAGATTCTAGGTCTAACAAAAATTCTTCCGCGATTACGTCAACCTCCGTGTAATTTGGTGACGAGAGGGAGACCTTTATAAGAATATCTATGATAAAATTGAGTAAAAATGGAGAGAGTGAGCACTGTTGACGGACACCACTTGACGAGTATAGCTCCATGGACATCTCACCATAGGCTTTAACAAGCCCACAAGTGCTCGAGTAGAGGGCCTTCAATAAGGTGATGTAGTTACTCGACATGCCTATCAGTGAGAGACATTGCCATTAGACTTCTCCATCAACGGAGTCAAATGCCGCCTTCAGGTCGAGAAATACAGCTATTGTCGGGTGTCAGTGAGTGTGTCTGTGTCCCAGAACCTGGCATAGTGTGAATATTTGGTCGAAACACCCACAGCGGGTCTAAACCCTGCCTGGTTTTCTCGTTCTTGCTGTTCCCAAGCTCCATTCAGACGTCGAAGAATTATAAAACTTAAAATCTTAGACACTATGTTCGTCAGGCTGATTCGTTTGTGGTTATCACAAGAGGACTTCTCGCCTTTCTTGAAGACTGGAATAATCAATGATTTAGACCAGCCAGGGGTGATCGCATTTGATTCCCATATACTGGTTGACACTTCCGTTAACCTGACTAAGAGCACTATACCACTATCCTTGTATACCTCAGGAGTTAGTCCGTCTGGTCTTGCTGCCATCTTCGTTTCAAGTTACCTACTGCCTTCTCGACTTCTGCAAGTGTTGGGGGGCCTATCTCTATGTCCCATTCAGGATCTAACTGGATAGCGGGCAACGCAATGGTGGCTAGAAGCCAGTTAGACTGTTCCTTGAGGTGTTCTGCCCATTGTTCCAGTCATCTCCTCTGAGAGTGAATCGCAGATCCGTCCTTCTCCGCTATAACCTCACTAACTGTTGTTGATCTTCTCCCCCCAGTTTCCTTAATAAGTCTAAATAACTGTTTACTGTAACCAATCACCGCTGCCTTTTCCATTTCTTTTTGGCTTTCGCTGCCCATCAGTGTTCGCGGTCGTTGTATAAACTTTTTGTCAATCTACTTTTAAGTTGCCCTCGCTCTTTATTATATTCAGAGCCTGCAGCGATGCGTTCACGTGCATCCATTAGTTCGGAAGAAGCTGCTGATATGCACTGGCTCTTTTCAGCCACTATTTCGGAGTCGGCTATGGTCTTCAGCGCTGCTTTTACAGCAGACTAGAGATAGCACCAAGCTTCTTCTGGATGAGTGATAGTTTTCTGTTCCGATCATTGCCTAGCCAACTTCTCACTGAACACGGCTTTGGTGTTTTTGTTGTAGAGCTGCTCTTGTAATGGTTTTGTTGCTAAATTTTTCTTACGTCCATTGAGACGCAGGTATATACGCGCTGGGACCAACACATGATCGGTGTTCAAACACGAGCTCCAGAAGAAGCGGCAGTCTTCCACCGATCCTCTCCATCTATGACTAATAGCAATGCGATCTATCTGTGTCGATCGCTGAGTTGAGCTCGGTGGACGCCAGGTCAGACAGTGCCTTTCTTTATGTTTGAAATTGGTGCTAATTAAAAATAGGTGGTTATCTGAGCACAATTGTAGTAGGCGATCACCGTTATCTGTTCGTTCAGCTGGGATTCCGAAAGTGCCACCTAAGTCTTTCTGCCTCACTCAGTCTACTCATCGGTGCATTGAAATCACCTGCAACAGCCACCACGTCCGAACGTTTGGCTTTAAAAGGAGACTAGACAGTTTTCGGTAAAACTCGTCCTTCACTTCATCTGAACTGCAGTCAGTGGGCGCGTAAGCACAGATTACAAAGAGACAACGGTGAGTTTCCCTATTCCTTTGAGTTCTCATTGCGCCGTTCAGTTGGATAGCGCAGAGACGACTA